GTGTCTGCATCTCAGCAGCCCGGCTGCAATCCTGCAGCCCTTATCGGCCATAACTGGGCTAAAGGTCCCAGCTAAAGAAACCCACGAGCTGCCAGGTAGGCAAAGCACCATGCTGGAAGGACACTGCTGGGTCACACCTCTCAGGGGCTGCACGTCTGTCCTGCAGGTACACAACCAGAGAGCAACAGCTGAGGTTTACACGCACAGAAATGAGCAGTGGCGCAGCAAGAGCGAGTTCCCTTGCATGCATCTACACCCCAAGCTCGCTTCCAGCCTTTCTCAGTGGACTGCACTGCGATGCCTGGTGAGCAGACACCAGTCACACAGGCACCAGCCTGCCTTACACCACTCCCAAGGCCCCGCAGCACCTGCCAGGAACTCATTTGCTGGATTACAAAGCATGCATCCGTGCTTTCCACGCATCTAAGCCACTGAATGCACACCAACTCCTGTGCCTGCCACAGATTCAAAGGGTTTATCTACAGTGAAATCGTTGACCCACAGTTCTGCTCTTGCAGCACATTTCCCAAACACGTGGAAACAAGGCTCTCAAACCACACATTTCATAACATGCAAGGAGCAACAGGTCCCAGCTCCCTGCGGAGCAGCAAACGAACGTCATCTTCCTTGCTCCCTGTTCCAAAAGGACGTTACCCACAGACATCTGAAGTTATTTAACGTGTTGTAACGCTAGCTGGAATGGCCTGCAGACTGCTCAGGACATCCGACTCAGTCCTCCAGGATCAGCCAGTAAAAGGTGGGTGGTTGGGGAGCTGTTGGCAAATGCTTTCAGCAGCAGGAAGGCGATCAGCTGGAATTTCAGACTGTAACACTGCTCCATTTGTTTGATTATGACCTCATATTGCTCAACCCTTAACAATTAATTACAAGGGCCTGGCTACAAGCCTCCAACTGCCCCAACAGGGTTCAGCACACCTTTATGGTTTGTGTCTTGTTTAAATGTGTATGGCTTCAGAGAGATAGTTTGGTCTAGATTACAGAACAGAGTTTTGTTCATTTTTAATCACAAGCAGGGTGTTGTGACTCAGTAAGAACTCAGGTCACCTATTTCCAGATGATTGACAGTAGGAATGAGGTGAAAGCACTGCACAGGAATGGCCCTCTCAGTCCCATACAGTTGCTCAGAGTTATGGCATGTTATGCACTGTAAAGAGCAGTCAAAAGATCAGAGAGTAAAACAGTTACAGAAATAAAGAGTCTACTTGATTAAAAATCAAGTGAAGAAATAAGATTGAATCTTTCTATCATATCAATTACAATCTTGAAGAGTACTTCTGTCACAGAATCACTTGCAACAGAGCTAACTGAGCAGGGACCAGGAGGGCACAGTGCTCCCCAGCAGCTGGAACAGCCCAAGGGCTATCCCAAAAAATAAAGCTGCTCAGAGGAGCCCAGAGCCAAGCAAGCTTTGCAGCAGCACAGTTATGGTCCTTCAGTACAGGTGAAAGCAGAACTTGAGTGCATAGAGCTTTGAGATTGCAGAGGAGATAATAAGCAAAGAACATTGTGATGAAAGCCAACGTGAAGATTTCAGCAGTGAGATGGAGGAGCTGACAGCCAGGCAGGAAGGGGCAGCCATCTGCATGGCTCCAAGAGACAACAGCATCTCAAGGCCAAGGAGGAGAGCCCAGTTACAGCAAAGGCACACAGACCGTTATGGCTGCAAAGAAACAAGGGTTATGTTTGCTCTGTTTCTTAACTCAGAGTTAACTCAGAGTCCCCCAGAAGGGGCTCAGCTCTGTGAAGGGGCTGCACTCCGCTGTCTCTATGCAGCAGGGATGAGTTGCACCAGGGCAGAGCTGCCCAGCCCACAGCAGCAGGGAAGCTCCAGACAGCACTCCAGGTCAGGGTCAGCAGGAAAACAATCACATGAGCACATGCAGAAACACTGTGACTACACAGCCTTCAGCTACATCACATATATATCTCCAGATAAAAAGTAGAGAACAGTTCCGGTTCAACAACCCTTACTTCCATTAAACACATACTTCAGTTCCATAAATCTACACAGATATCTTCAGGAGAACTTAGAAGTAGTAAAATGAGCTCAACTGCTCCAGAGGCAGATGTAATTGAGCAGCAGAAAGTCCCTTTATGCAGTAGGACAAGGAAGCCTGTAAAATGTTGTTCACATGGTTATCACTTTACTGCTCAAGCAAAGTGAGGTATGCGAATTGCTCTGTGCAACCAGCTCAAACAAGCGGTGCTCTGGAAGGCTCACTGCCCTGGCATCCTGTATTTGTAAAACAGCTTCAAGATAACAGCAGGAATTTAGAAAAAAAACTCGCTGATGACATCAGCAAATTCCATCTCAAAAGGCAGGGATGTGTGGCTGCCTGCTCTGGCCATGCTGAAGGCCGCCCCTGGGGAGGCAGGGATGTTCTGAGTGCTGCAGAGGGCTTTATCTCAGTAAGAACTCCGAGGTTCTGGAGGAGCCAAAACATTGCTCATTTTCCCTTCAAGCTGCAGCCCAAAACAATCATTGTTGCCACAAGAACTTTTGGCCAACTGACACCAAGAGATCAGTAAAGCTTGTGGACAACATGGCATTACAAGGCAGGAGGGTTGCACCCACATCCAGCACACTGCACTGTGACACAGAAAGATACAAGGTACCTGAGCCACAGTCATTTACTACTCACAACCCATGTGATTTATGCTTAACTTGGCCTTCAAACACTGCGTTTTCACCCTGATCCTTAAACACTTTTCTTGAGTGTGACTTCACATTGCTGAGTGTCATTATTGGCTAAGGACAGAGAAGGAAAAAAGAATGCTTTTATTAATAGAACTCTCTGGGAAACAGGAAGTTTATTCAATCTTCCCTAAAAGATGACACAAGGCAGAGGTTTTCCAGCCAGCTCTCCAAGGGCTGCTCTCACGAATCAGACTGGAGATCTGAACTCTGCATCCTTAGTTCTTAACAAATGCTAATTGTCACATTGCTGAAGGGAACCCTGCAATACCAGCAGTGCCCCATCAGCTCTCTTTATCCAGCCAGCTGCTTCCTGCACAGCTGAACAGTGAGCAGAGGAAGCAAAGGGCTGAGGAACAATCCCGATGGCTGAGGGCTCACAGAAGCAGCACTGCCATCCACAGTGCTTCCCCTGCACAGAGCAGCTCCAGACCCTGCAGAACGCTTCTTCTCTGCTGCTCCTGCAGCACAGCAAGCAAATCAGCTTTGCTGGAAAGCAAGAAAGCATTTTGTTTCGAAGAGCATCCTCCCAGCCTGGAAAACTTCAGGCTGTATTAGATAACAGGCTCAGAAAGAAGAGGGAATGCCAAGTGAGATGGGTGGGCATCAGCACAGGATGTTCTAGCAAGTGAGTGCCTGCTGCCAGAACTAAGGGATCAGGCACCCATGGGTGGCAGCAAGTCAGCATCTCACGGGCACGCAGAGGTGATTGATGGGGCACAGTCAGGTCCTGTTACCAAAGCGCACACTGTAGAAAATCACCATGGCACTGATGTTATTTTTAGAAGCAGCACAACTAAATCACTCCTACGATGCTCACGCTGCCAAAGTGTTCCGGAGGAAGATGCCAACCAAGAAGCACTATTAGAAAACAAGGCTTCGGAGAGCCAAAGTTGGAAAGGCAGCGGCGACTTCGGGATGGGTGGATGCATACAGAGGGGCTGAAAGGAGTTACGCTGGCCCGGTTCTGGGAGCAGTGACAGCTGTCACTTGGGTCAGCTCTCAGGGACTCAGCAGTGCCCTCCGCCCTCCTGCAGGAAGGATGTGCTGTGCAGTGCCAAACCCCGGCCGCAGCCACGCGTACCGACAGCGCTCAGCTTTCGTCCGGCCCTGCGCCCGAGGCACCGCGCAGCAACGAGCCGCACACGAGGGCAGGCGCGGCGCCGACCCACGCTGCTCGTGCGGAACCCGAAGCTCGGAGCCCTCTACGCACAGCGCCGCACGGCACCAACGCTCTCGGCCCTCCCCAGGTGAGGCAGAACGCCGTCGCAAGCCCCGGCCGGCCGAGGCCCGGGAGCAGCGTTACCCCCCCCCGCCGCTTCAGCCCCGGCGCCGCCGCTCACCAGCAGGTCCAGCTCGGTGCGGTGCAGCCCGAGGCGGCCCAGCCCCACGGCCAGGTCGTGGATGCAGAGTGCGCCGTCGCGGTTCACGTCCAACTTCTGGAACAGGGCGCGGAGCCGCCGATCCTGCTCGGAAGCCTCGCACACCGCTCTTCCGCAGGACCCGCCGCCGCTCCCTTCGGCGCCAGGACCGGGCGTGGCGGCGGCCCGCGGGGAGCCGCAGGGGCACAGCACGCCGCTCACCACCGGGGAGGCCAACGAGCGCCGCGCCCCCGGCATGATCCCGCCGGCCGCCCGCTCCTCACGCCCGCCGCCGGCAAATGGCGACGCTTCCGCCACCGGCGCCGCGAGGAACCGACGCGGACCGCTTCCGCCTTCGCGCCACACGGCGCCGCCGCCACGTGACGCCCCCCGCCGACCAATGGGAGCGGCCCCCGCCGGCCAACGCGCCGCCGCCCACAGCCCGGCCTCCACGCGCACCCGGCGAGTGGGCGGGTGACGTCAGACAGACGCCTTCCCCTCCACCAATCGGAACGCAGCGCCGCCGCGGCCGGAAAAAGGCGGTACAAGATCCTAGGGCAGGACGCCATTGGCTAAACGTTGAGGCGTAACCGGGGGTAAAGGCACAACCGCTCCAATCAGATTGGGAGCCAGGGCCTCATTTGGATCTTGATGGACGTGGCATGCATCCAGTAGTTTCCAGAGGAGGGCGAGTTCAGCGTTGATGGACGGGAAAAGTACCCAATGAAATTAAAGCAGGGAAATAGGCGGGCGGGCCCAGCCTCTCGCCGGACTCACGCAGGCCCAGTGGCCCGAGGCAAACGGTGAGGCGGGGCCGGCTATGGTCCCTCGCGATGGACAGCGAGACTGGCCAATGACAGCGCAGCCCTCCCCGCGGAGGGCCAGACTTTCACCTGACAGGCAGACGGGCGGCCCAATCAGACGAGGAAGGAAAGGGGGCTGATTCTGGAAGCCATTACGCCAGTGTCGCAGGGTGGAGGCCGTTGAGCGGGGCTTGCTGGGTGGCTGCGGTACGCAATTTGCGTACCGTTGGCGGTGCCAAGGGGGGGAGCGGGGAGGGAGCGACAACTCCGGGCCCCGAGGGGCCTCGGGCCCCCCCCGCTCCTCCCCGGCCCGGGGCGAGCGGGCCCGGGGGGCCCCGCGGGAGTCCGGGCAGGGCCGAGGGGCGGCAGCGGGGCCCCCCGGGCCCTCAGGAGCCCTTTGAGTACCACCTCCCCCGCTTCCTCTCAGGGCCATGGCGTCGCCCCCGGCTCCCCCGGCCAAGAAGCGGAAGATGAACTTCTCGGAGCGGGAGGTGGAGATCATCGTGGAGGAGCTGGAGCGCGGCAAGCACCTCCTCATCAACCACTTCAACGCGGGCGTACCGCTGGCCGCCAAGGCCGCCGCCTGGCACGACATCCTGCGGCGCGTCAACGCCGTCGCCACCTGCCACCGCGAGCTGCCCGAAGTGAAGAAGAAATGGTCCGACCTCAAGACTGAGGTGCGGCGCAAAGTGGCCCAAGTGCGAGCCGCCATGGAAGGGGGGAGCGAGAGCCAGAACGGTGGCGGTGCCGGGACGGAGGGCGAAGACCCAAGCGGTGCCACGGCTGCTCCCGTCATCCTCACTCCCATGCAACAGCGCATCTGCAACCTGCTGGGAGAGGCCACCATCATCAGCCTGCCCAGCGGGGACTGCGGGGCGGCCGATGGGACCGAGATCCCCATCACCGCCTCCACCACCACCGTCACGCTGACCCAGAGTGAGTGCTGCGCCCAGTGAAGATGCTCTGTTCCGGATTGATGGCCCAGTGGGAGGCCTGGCATCCTCCTGTGATCCCTCTGCAGGGAGCTCCTGTCAAAACAAAGCGCCCTTCTGTCGTGAAAACACATTTGTGCTGTAGGGGAGCATCTAGGAGATGTGCGTGAAAGTCAGCTTTGACAGCTGGGGTCAGCCTTAAAACAAGGAAAGCAAGGAGCCTTTGGTCCCTTTCTCTGGGGAACTAAAGTAAAAGGGAGGAATACCTCCAGAGCTGATTTCCTTATCTGCCCCAAATGGGCCATCCTGTTGATAAGTGCCATTCGAGGCCTTCTCTTTGCCCTTGTGTCAGTTGGTTAGTGGTGCTCTAAACTAGAGGTTGGAAAAAGATTTTGTCTAGACAGATATGGCGCACCCTGCTCCTTTGGACCTTGCTCTGTACATCCGAGAAGGAAACTTGGATGAGGGTGGAGTAACTTAAGTTATTTTGTGCATTCACTGTTTATTGTATGTTATCTCACAGAACAGGCAGTATTCCTGTTACATTCCTTGAATAGTCCTGTAGATAAAAACAACCAGTGTTGCAGCTACTCCTTACCCCTTTTCTGTCCTTTGTTCTCAGTTCCTGCAGAGACAACTTACCACAGTCTGGAGGATGGGGTCGTGGAGTACTGCACAACAGAAGCCCCCGCCACAGTTACTGCCGAAGCACCCTTGGAGATGATGGCACATCAACACGAAGTATCTGCAAAACCCCAGGAGCTGAAAAGCCGCATTGCTCTGAACTCAGCGAAGCTCCTGCAGGAGCAGCGAGTGACCAACTTGCACGTGAAGGAGATCGCCCAGCACCTGGAGCAGCAGAATGACTTGCTTCAGATGATCCGTCGCTCTCAGGAGGTGCAGGCATGTGCGCAGGAGCGCCAGGCTCAAGCCATGGAAGGAACACAGGCTGCACTGAGTGCCCTCATCCAGGTCCTCCGCCCCATGATTAAGGACTTCCGTCGATTTTTGCAGAGCAATACACCCAGTCCTTCGGTGACCGCTGACCCCGGCCAGACTGGGCAGCAAGATGGCATTATCCAGTGAAAGAAACAGCAGTTGGACTTCTTTATTGGTAAAAAATCTGCCCCTGCTGCCATTGGACACGGAGGAAGGGGTGCTGGCTCTTGTCAATGTGAAATGGCTCGCCTTGGAGCCTTGCTGAGCCCCAACGGCTTTCTTCTCTGCTAATCTTATGCTAATCTGCCTTTTCAGACCCATCGTGCAGAGCAGAAGCAGGAGATTTAATAAACAAGGAACCTAACCTCGGTTGCTTTAGTTCCTCAAAAAAATAGATTTGTTTAAAAAAAAAAAAAAAGGGAGAGAAAAAAAGACAATTATTTTTTTATCTGTTTGAAAAGCTCTTCTGGGTATGACACTTCTTTCTTCCTCTGCCTTGATCTATAGCCTTTAACTGACTTCAAACACGGACAGTCTTGCTATTAAGTCACAGCAATGAAGCTGCCAAGGTACAGTTATCATAAGCTGCAGTGTCTGGTAGTGAGTGCATTTCTGTCTCTTGATGAAAGTATTTACTGGAAACGTGGTATCAGAGGTGGTACAACCTTTCTCTGCACTGAGAGCTTGTGGATACTGCTCTTGGAGCATGAAGTTCACCCGCACAGACTAGCACTAAGCCTACTATATGCAGTTCAAATCCCACCCATATCCCCCAAGGATATAAATGGGATTAAAATAGTGTATTCACCTCATGTTCTGTCTGTGTGCCGTCATGAAATTCAACTTTTAACTTAGCAGATGTGATAAAAATGTCATGCCTTGGTTACCAGATACTGTCCTGGGATACGTACTGGGAGCAATTACCTGTCCCAGTGTATTTAATACACAAAGACACATAAAAAGTTAATTCAGGTGGGTTTACAGGCATAACACCTGTGTCTCATAACGCACAGTTTGCCAGCTTTGTCATAGCTCAGTCTCTCCAAGTGGACCTGGTCTGGAGAGCTTCAGCCACCCAGCAGTTCCCAGCAGACGACGTTTAGGAGGTTGGCAGCCATTGATTGGAGTGAGTGAGTTCTGGACCGTCAGCTGGTTCTGGTGGTGGTATTTGTTCTGTACTTTTTAGGAGCCAGAAGCAAATACAGCAGTTCTCTGTTAGTCTGCTAGCTGGCTTTGACTGGGATTCTGAGAAATGGCTGTGAGGTTCACCTCGCTTACGTTCTCACATTTAAACAGGGCTAAGTAGCATTTGCAGCCCCTGATCTCACTGAGGTGTTGGTGCTGTTGGGTTTGGTCCTCTCTGAGACAGCTCCGTTCCACAGGATGGTGAGTGTGACTCTGACGGACTTGGAGCAGCTTCATAAACTTTCAGATGACAAGCTCCACTTGTAGGTGCATGGAAGCTAACTTCAGAAAAAAAAAGTATAAGTCTTTTCCCCATACCTTTCACATTTAATAGGCTTGTTGCTTGCCAGATACTGCTTTTGAAGCCAAACTTTCTCAGAGTTGATATTCTCTCACTGTTAAGTCTCCTTTTGGGCTGAGAAGTGTGAGCAAAGACTGAATTTGCACAATCACATGAAACCCTTACATATGTTACGGCAGGATGCTGCTGGAGGACCCCCAGTTAGAGCAGTGGGTGAACATTCTGCTGCCTACCTCTGCCCTTCAGTAATCACCTCTCTTCTGTGAGGCTGATGGGTGAGAAAACAGCTTTAGAACTCTGGCCCTGGAAGCTCTGACCCTTTGACACAGACGTCTTGGTGCTGAGTCAGGGCAGCAGCAGCTGCTCCTTCCCACCTTGTTGGGCATCCAGCCATGTGAGTAACGCTCTCCTGATTCTTTCTCTCAGACTTTATGGAGTCAAATCAACTGCTCAATTGAAAAGTATTTTTAAAGCAGAAAACTATGTCATAAATGTTGTTTTACCTCGTTTGTGTAATGATCTCTCCTTTACAAATAAGATTTTTAATTAAAAAAAAATATGTTTTTTGGTAAACAGTCTCTTCCAGTTTATCAGCATGTTCCAGCAGAAAAGTGAGTTTGTGAAAACAAGTTGGCAACACAGAGGACTCAGTCAGAAAAGGTCAAAGAAAGCTGTAAGCAGCCACATGTGTTGGTTTTTTTCCTTGTTCATGAAATTTGTGGCCCTGCAGTTACACAATTGCCTTTTTTCCCTTTTTATTTTTTTTCCCAGTAACATCTTTGCAGCCTTCCCTTGGCCCACTAGTTAGTTCATTGCATCTGACAGATCACCACAGCATGCTGACCTCCCAGCTGCTCCGAACACGCTCCAATAGCCCAAAATGATGGATGAAACACCAGCCTTGGGATTTAAATTGCTGTGTTCATTTTTGCAGTGACTAAGCACTTAAGCTGTCACTGTTCCTTAGGAGTAAACGCGTTGCCCTCAGAACCACCCATTTTTTCGTGTGTTTTCAGGATAAATATAGATCTTAGTCAAGCCAGTAGCATTCAGGAGCGAGTTCCACGTGGCGTTTTTGTCTCATTAAAAAGATGTAGCAACTTTTTAAATGCGGGGTGGGTCGTGTGGTTAGGGGCTGGGTTGTTGCTCATGACGAGGTCATCAAACTTGGGGAGGAAGAGAGAAAATACGTCACTTCAAGTCAAAACCAGGAAGATCAGGTAAACAGGGCACTGACATGCCTGGAACTTGTGCCCAAAGCTGAACAAAAAGCAAGGAACGGCATCTCACAGATGTTTATTTGTACCTGGGGATTTATAATCACCATCCAGAGCTGGAAGGAGCTGCGCAGGGATGTCCTGCCACAGGGCTCCTCAGAGGGGAGAGTGAGTGTGCTTTGTACTTCTTGCTGCTGGAGAAAGAGGAGTTTGGTGGAGCGCTTCTGGTGGGTCAGAAGATACCTCGAGGCTGTGGCTTTGTGCTCGTGGCACCGCTAGGTGCTTCAGGAGCAAAAGTCTGGTTGTGAAGCTCAGGCAGTGAGCAGTGCGAGCAGCTCAGGCACAGCTGTCCAGGAGATGGCACTGCACAACGGGGCAAAGCACTGGGATCCTGAGCTGCGGTCTGCAGCAGAGCACAGTGCATTGCAGAGACCTGGTGGGATGCTTCCAGAAGTCCTACAGGTCTTTTGTGCCCCGCCTTCTCCTCAGTGCTGGATCATTTCAGGACTGGGAGCCTGGAGAAGAAGAAATTCAACAGGAGAGCAGAGGGACGTGGAGCAGAGATGCCTGTGCTCACATGCTGCTCCCAGAGCACGCGGTGCTGCTGGGCTCCCAGCTCTCACTGCACTGAATTCACTGCAGAGACACGGGCAGGCACAAGATGCACATTAATTCCTTCATTATAAGCACTGGGGAAGGTTTTAGGATTTTTCGCAAGGCCACACATAAATATGTCAGTATCCCACAAGTATTCCATGCTGAAATAGGTGCATCACAGTTCTGGAAGCTGGTCCCCACAGGGGCAGAATGATATCATCTGCATATTCGCCTCAATTACCCTGCCTCCTCCAACATGTTTTTAGTTTGTCGTGCCTGGCAAAGTATCCTCTTGTTGGTTTATTGCTTTTTTTTTTTTTTTTGACATCTGAGAGGCTGTTGCTAACAGATACTGTCAACAGAAGTCTGGTCTGTTATGAAAATCGAAGCCTTTAATATTCTTTGCCTTTCCTGCAAGCACCTGACAAGGAGCTTCACGCAGACATCAGCACAGCTTCCAGGCTGCGCTCTGGGAGTCAGCCCACAGCCCAGCCACCTGCAAACTGGGCTCATGAGCTCCCGAGTTGTGGAGATCCAGGCACAGGATGAGGCTTCATAAACACAAGCCTCAAGGCAACATGAGCTCCAGTCTGAGGATTTTGGAAGGGCAAAGCTGTTCCCATGCCACTGTCAGGCCTCCCAGAAACAAATGGAGAGCCCTGCTGCACATTCCCATGAAATATGGAGCAGATATGGAAAGCAGTAAACACAGAAGAGCCAGGCAGCTGGGCTTTCAGGTCTGGCCACATGCCTTGGGAAAGGAATCCACCGACTCCAGATTCCTATGCTCCCTTTGTCTCTGGATAACAGGATCCCCAGTCCTGGCAGGTCAGAAACACACCAGACAGGTGTGTCCTTTGCAGGTGAACAGCCTGCAAAACAACACAAGCCTGGCACAGAAAGTGAAACAGTTCCAGGGTTTATGGTGATAAGTTCACTTAAATATGGAACTAGTGAAAAACACAGATGAAAATGGAGCTGGCAGCCTGTTATTAAACTGGGAAGAGGCAAGCTTTGAGTAACTCCATACTGCAGGAAAATCCTACAGGATGGGGAGCTGGGGTTTCCAGCAGCACGTGGGGCTCGTACCAGCACCCAGCCCTGCCAGGGTCAGCACTCCCAACCTGCAGTGGGCAAGGCACCGGCCCACAGCTCCCAGCTGCAGTGCATTGCAGGCACTTGGCCATCGCAGCGTGCAGAATGGAGCGGAGCGTTGTGTGATAGGCTTTTTGTTGTTGTTTTTGGGGGTAGGATGGGACGACAGGCCCAGGAGCTCATTACAGTCATTATGGGAAGTTACAGATCTAATAGAGGAAAGCCAATTATGTATTTACACTGTTGCAGCAATGGTGTATAATTTGGTTTTCAAACTTTAATCATTTGGCTGCCAGGACAAATGAATTAGTCTGATGATGTTTTCCAGCAGAAGATGCTAATGATGTAGATTACAGGTTCTGATGATTTGCTCGTGTATCTGGAATTCCTCTGGGATAAGAAAGAGAATCTGGTGGCTCACCACACATTTCTCAGGATCCGTCCCACTTCACTGCTCTCAGTTCTGTCCCTTCTGAATTCAATTTGCTTCATTTTCTCCCTGCCTGTTTATCTCAGTGCTCTAAGCTGGGAGGGAGAAAGCATGGAAAGCCATCTCTGCTCCTGCTTGCACCTTGGTCCCAAGGCAAGCAGAGCATGCAGATCAGCCCCTCTTCAGTGACAGCAGAGCTGAGGCCCAGCACAAAGCGCAGCCCAAACTGATAAATTATCTGAGGCTGATAAGATAATGCCCTGAGACAGCAAAAGTTGAGGAAGTGGTGGCAGCACTGGGGAGAGGAACCAGGAAAGGCTTAGGTCAGGCAGGGCACAGGGTAAGGACGTGGCTGAGGTTCACAGAACAGAGGTGAAGGCACTGTGGGGCAAGACTCATGACACAGCAAGCACCAGCATAGGAAGAACTGAGCATTTCAGTCTGGGGTAAGCAGATTTAACATCTGTTATCAAGGGACACTCTGAATAAATGTTTTGGACCTGGATCAGGAAAGAATGTAAAACCAGAGGGTAGGTTGGTGGATGGACAGAGATATAGCATGCCCTGTTCCCTCTGATAGCTCTTGCGTGGGGCTCGGGATGCCTTGGGGACCCCAACATCCCTCCCAGCAGCAAACAACAGAGACATTCAGAGAAGTTCTGCCCCTTTAAAAAAACATGGATTTGTCCATAAACAATTATGCAGTATAAGCACAGCACAATCAACAGGGTGAATTCTGAACTAATAAAGATTTAATCTCTAAGTCATGAGACTGCCTTTGTTAGGAAAATATACGTACCCCTGAGAATTGAACTACGGTTGCTCTATTACACATAGCTCAGCAGCTCACTGGGCATTTTTCCAATTCAGTTTATTTTTAACATCAGATACATTATTCAATTAATTATAAAAACACTGAGGTTTTCAAGAGAGATTTCTGATAAAACTGCAGAGTAAATATGCGTGAGAACAGCAAGGATTACAATC